TTTAATCGGGTATTCAAGTTTCAGACAAACAAATCCATCAGTTTATAAAAAAAATATTAAAACAAAGATTTTTCTATAAAACTTCTTTTTGTGTAAAAAAACTGGTCATAAGAGTAAATAAAGTCTTTTTTAAAGGAGTTAACTAGTCCAAAGGCATACTTGATCCATTAATAACGCATACAAAGATATTAAAGATAACTTTAAAGCCTTACAACTACTAGTATTTAGAAGAAAAAAAATATATGTCAAAATGACCACAAGCGCTTATGGGGTAGACCCCCCTTTTTAGTTTTGTTTAATTTTTATTAATTATTATTGATTAAACTATTCAATTTTCTATGTTTATACCACTTATCTATTACTACTCCGTATGTCTCACCTAGTTTTAAGTGAATTAAAAAACTCTGTTATTACCCCTCATTTTACTATCCATACTTAGAACAACATTTTAGTATGGATATCAAACCATGTCAGAGGAGACATAATGATTATGTGCATACTGGATAGGATTCAAATCCATAAAGTCCAAAAACCCGTTACCTTCGGGACATCTATGGACCGCAACAAACTTCGTCTGACATGGTTTGTTTGATACACATGCAACTGCGTCGATTGTTGAAGAACGTTTCACTGATCTGAGTATTAAAAATATCATTATTTCACAAAATACTCAGAAAGCAAATAATACGATTGATAAGAATATTATTCTGATGATGGTACGTCAACCTATGTTTATTTCGGAATTCAGATATATTGTCTTTCCATTTTGCTCAACTAAAGTGGGGAAATAGGGTATGTTTTGCCTTCGCAAGGGACTGGTCATTTGCATTCTGAAGGTAGGGGGGAGGGAATAAGGTGGCCTCGAAAGTTTTGGGAATCAAAAAGGGAGGTATTCAATTTTTCAATACTTCAGATGGGTTGCATCAAAATTTTCTTATAAGATTTTAGCTGTTCTGTATTTCATACATGAACAAATTATAGCTAATTTGATGAATATACTCTAAATACGTATCTGAGTTTTTCAACAGAAGTGTCTAACACTTGATTAAGATGTCATATCTATAACTGTTGTGTCATAATTTTTGGCTTCAAACTTCATTTCAATGTTAAATGTTTTATTCATGTGAGTCATGACCATCTTCTGTTTGTTTGTTAGACATGGAGAATGACAATAATAGGGAATAATGGTTTGATGTCTTTAATTCTTTTTATTAGGTTTTTCGCGAAAGTCTTTAGTATTATACCCCTTTCCATATGATAAAACACTGATAATATTAAAAGTTGTTTCCTAACATGATTAATCGCAAAACTCATGATTGAGCATATATTTCGATGGTTCAAGATGATATCCAAGAGTCAAGTTTGGCATTTTTAATACGTCTTAACGTGAATGAATTTCCTTTATGACCTGGATGTAAGGATTCAGGCGACCTACACCTAACGCTTCCCATTACAATAAAGAAAATATATTTTTCTGGCAGGAAAGACACCCATTTTTTCAATTGTTCAGAAAAACATCCTAAGTTTCAACATTTTCTTCTAGGAAAGTTTTTTTTAATCTGAAGTTAAGTTACAAACTTTTTAAAACAATAGGCTGAAATTGAAAGAAGGTGTGGTAAATGTCCCTGAGACCATAACAGACATATCTAGATAAAGTTCTCTGTAGTCACAAACAACTTCCCCACTTGAAGCTTTATTTCCAATACTGATGCACTGTTTTACTCAATAACATTAATATAGCATGTACCTTTTGTTGTAAAGAATACAAGTATTGAAACGTGTTTGGGGTGGAGTGGGTTGAAAATTTTCATGTCTTTTGAATTTATTTTCCTTCTTCAAGGTGGGGACTTGAACAAAATAAGAGAAATTCATCTGTTTACATCAACACACCCCCACCCCCCCCCCCCCCACCCTCCCCCGCCGCCCCCCCCCCGCTCCCCATGAAATAAAATGACAAGTCCCAAATAACAAACCTTAGATAATTTATAATTCGAAATATCGACACGATTTCGTTTAGTTATATACATATTGATCATCAATCATATCAATAGAATAAACTTCAATATAAAATTGAGAATGGGAACGGGGAATGTGTCATCAACCCGACCACAGAGCAGAATACAGCCCACTCAATATATATGCTTTCACACTTTTCTTACCCCCAAAACTCATTAAAACCCTTTTGGAACCTTGAGTTTTAAAGCAGAGTTTTGGATATTGATTGCATCATTTGCTACTGTAGAAAACATTGAATTAATGATATGAGGAGTTAGAAACATATACAGGTAATATCTTCATCAAACTTCATGCAGACGATGCGAATAACTATACTTTAACACGCGTTTTTATGGTAGATTTATTCTTAACTATGTATAAAACAGCAGCTCCCGTTTCGTACGATTCATCAAGTTACACTTTCGTATGTTTGTTCGTCAATATCCTGGTCATCTCTATTATGACATATACTGTAATTTTCATAGTTTTTAAGCTAGGAAATCAAGATCCCACAGAGCATATTGATAACTTTGTTGTTATATGTACGATATTGTAATGAAATCATTTTTACTCATAATGTGTTTTTCTTATTATATTTTTGGATAAATAGCAACAGATTTAACAAACGTTTGGCCAAATAGTAAAGAATGACATGTTTCTTCAAGGTGCACATACATACATTATAATACGATATGCTACATATAATACATATAATACATAAAAATAAGAAGATGTGGTATGAGTGGCAATGAGACAATTCTCCATCCAAGTCACAATGTGTAAAAAGTAAACAATTATAGGTCAAAGTACGGTCTTCAGCACGGAGTCTTGGCTCACACCGAACAGCAAGCTATAAAGGGCCCCAAACTGACTAGTGTAAAACATTTCAAACAGGACAACCAACGGTCTAATCTATGTAAAACCACATCAACAAACGACAACCACTGAACATCAGGTTCCTGGCTTAGGACAGGTGTAAACAAATGCAGCGGGTTTAAACGTTTAAAAGGTTTGATTAATATGCATGGTAAAAAAAACCACACACAATTGTATCTTATTAACCATTAGTTTTATTGTTTGGTCTTTATAAAATCTTAGTTTATATTCTGTCAGCCATAAGACATTAGATTGTATACAAATCCAGTTATGCCAATGTTATTTTTGTATGAGATTAATGTTTATTCTATTATTTTAAATCCAGTCTTGCAAAATATTTCAATATCTTCATTTGACGTGTGTTAATGTAATTGCTATTTGAATAAAAATTTAATCCAGTCACTTGACTTCTGCTTCTCTAAAATGACGATTTGAAGATCCATTGATTTCTTTCTAGTGACACACTAAGGTTTAGCTATGAATGAATGGACGTTTGTGATATACACCAAGGAGACAGGAACCCAACGACAAAAAATAACCAAATTATCTAGAGGACAGTATATAGGTCAACAGTAATCATTTGTCTTTATAATATAAAATGCTCTGAAATGTCACGTGATATCAAAGTTTGAATAACTTAATAGAAACAATGAACGACCTGACATGAATGACAATCTTTTGAAAAAAGAGAGACACATGTATATATAGCACACAACAACTGGTTCCTGATTTGGGACAGTCATATGAAAATGTGGCGGGATTGAAACATATCTTATTATAAAGTAAACACTCTCTCAAGTTTTTTCAATAATCTGCAAACGCATATATTAATGTCTTTTTATGGGGAATGGGCAAATCATACTTAAAAAAAAACAAAACACTCATACTTAAACAAACTTTTTTTCAGAATTATCAATATGCTTGACATGTTGATTAGGTATAGAATAACGAATTGAAGAATTCAAACATGGAAAAATATTCAACGAGTATCTTATTAACGCGCGGGCTCATAAGTTAATTATCAATTCTAATATGACGTTCTTCAAACGCTTTGCGTATATATCTGTGTTAAAATACGAATACATTGATATGTCAGCTGACCGGCAACGTCATGATTTGTTTCGGCTGTTCCAATCTTACTCCTTGTAGTATGTTTTAACCGAGATTAGACAAATGTAAATAACGTCATTGGTCGATGACGTAAGATTATAAGCATTCTACGGGAAAATGCACGAATGTGAAACTGAAAGTCGTCAAAACTTGAAAACATAAACAAACAATGACACGAATTTGTTAAAAGCCAATTTTCTTAAATAAAAGTAAGATAATCTTTGAACTTCATCCAAACCCGTCTTAGTCGAATTATGACTATTGAACAGCGGTATACTACTGTTAACTTTATTTAATATGTTATTTCAAATCGTTTTAACATGACACTAATTCAGTTTTCTCCGTCTTTTACGTAAATATTCATAGTGAGTTCAATTACTGGAACAGCAGATATTTCCCTTCATCTAAAAAGCTTCGATCCAAAACAATTAGAGACGTTGTCCTATTATATAGGAAATAATCCATGGGGGCTTGAATTTATATTGATTTTACCACCAGTTGGCCTTTTATGCCGATATTTTACCACTCGTTATTGCTCTAGGTAAAAATATGTACCATACATGGCCAACCCATGGTAAAATTAATATAGATGCAAGCCCCAATGAATTATTTCTGAAATGTTGTTTGGTCACGAGTTATATATTTCTTAATATTTGAATTCTTCGATTAGTCATATGATTTCACTTTGCGGTATTTTGTAGCATTAAGCTTGGTGAAAAAAGAAGTTAGTTGTCTTATCAACTGAATTTACTATATAATTACACACACTGGCTGTATTCACAAACACATGTAAACTTACGTTACAATAGTTTAAAATTTTTTAATGAATTAAGAAATATAAGGATGTAATTAATGATGCGGTATGGGTTTTGCTCATTGTTGAAAGGCGTGCGGTGACTTATATAATTATTAACTTCTACGTCATTTTGGACTCTGGCGGAGAATTGTCCTCTTTGGCACTCATACCACATCTCATTTATATAACTATTGTTTTGGCAAATACACCAGTTTAAGAAAACTTTGAAGTTAACACAGATTTATTTTGAGCACAATTACAAAATACCACTAAACATGCTAAACAGAAATTTATTCTAAAAAATGTTTTTCTCCAGCTAGGATTAAATACTGGATTCGTACATATGCAATTTCAAACCTTCAGATAATGACATTCATGGCGATATCCCTTACCCAAAAGTATCTCAATGACGACGCATATCTTTCGTCGTATTGTATAGCATGACAAGTCCCGTAATGGATGTACGTGCTTGAATACATATGGATCTGGTTGAGGTTTACAAAATAGATAATAATGGGCAAATATTACAGAAAAAAAGGGATAAAAAGATTAAGAATAGTAAAAAAAAGAAGGCAAAAATAAATAAGGAATAGAGAATAATTGGGTGCTGAAAAATAATCACAAACACATGTAAACTTACGTTACAATAGTTTAAAAATTTTTAATGAATTAAGAAATATAATGGATGTAATTAATGATGCGGTATGGGTTTTGCTCATTGTTGAAAGGCGTGCGGTGACTTATATAATTATTAACTTCTACGTCATTTTGGACTCTGGCGGAGAATTGTCCTCTTTGGCACTCATACCACATCTCATTTATATAACTATTGTTTTGGCAAATACACCAGTTTAAGAAAACTTTGAAGTTAACACAGATTTATTTTGAGCACAATTACAAAATACCACTAAACATGCTAAACAGAAATTTATTCTAAAAAATGTTTTTCTCCAGCTAGGATTAAATACTGGATTCGTACATATGCAATTTCAAACCTTCAGATAATGACATTCATGGCGATATCCCTTACCCAAAAGTGTCTCAATAACGACGCATATCTTTCGTCGTATTGTATAGCGTGACAAGTCCCGTAATGGATGTACGTGCTTGAATACATATGGATCTGGTTGAGGTTTACAGAATAGATAATAATGGGCAAATATTACAGAAAAAAAGGGATAAAAAGATAAAGAATAGTAAAAAAAAGAAGGCAAAAATAAATAAGGAATAGAGAATAATTGGGTGCTGAAATATAAAGAATAGAGAATAATGACTTAAAAATTGAGAACTAAAGGACCTCCCATCCAGACCCTTATACATAGCTCTTAACTTATTCACATTTTTCCTATATTCGGAGTTATGTTATGATTTTCAATAAAAATAATCTTAACAAAACATAATTTTTAAAGAGAGAAATCTTTATTCCTTTATTATAATTTGATAAAATATTCCAGTTTCGTTGAAACTGCTTAGCGGTTTAGAAAAAACTGATATTTCTTGAATGATTACCCAAAAGTTTTGTGAGTTTTGGAACCGTATTTGAAAACAACGTATTTCGGTTGTATTCAATTGATAAGAGACATTTTGAACGTCAACTTTACCATTCACAAACTTTCCTATTATATTGTAGTCTGTGCAATCGTTTCTGTTATTAATCTTAGAGCTTATTTCTAATACGGCGCTGTACACTTTGTCTTCTGGGAATATATCTAACCCAGAATTGACAAAAATTCTTTTAATAGCTTGAGGTTTGTTGAATACAATTCTAAAGTAATCATCTTTCTTCGGCTTAGATTTGGACCAGAAATATCCAAAACTGGTATGGTATGCATTTTCAGGGGAATGTTTTAAATAAAACTTCAGATTTGTCAATACTTTTGCGGGTGGATTATCCCCTTTCGATAATTTCTTTTGAACATTTGCCGCAAAAAAACGGTCTTTGATTGACTGGACATGACCCGATTGGGAGGAAGTCACCCCAATATGCTGAAATAGCGTCGGTTTCCTTATTATACGACGAAATTGAAGCATCTGCGGATTAAAATGTAAATAAGTAATGTCTGCAGGTTGTTCTTGATAAAATAAAGCTACCATTTTAGCAAGTGCCTCTAAGTCATGTGTGTGATATAATTTAGCTATCATGCCCAGTTCAGAGAACTCTAAACACGTCCACTCTTCTTTTTGATCGTTGATGAAATTTTTCATAGCTTTGGTGTATCCTCCAACTGTTACGACGTCATCTTCAAGGTGCAAATAAAACTTTGAAAGCTTCGTTTTATAAACATATAACCACAACAGCACAAAATCTATGTTTTGTTTTGCTTTCCACTTGGCTTTAGATTGCGAATGCCATTTACGATGGTGAGTTAGATTTGTCAAACTTGGATACATCCAATCAAAGCTCCCTATTATTTTGATGGTTCCATTTTTAACTTCCTGTGGATATTTATTTACAATTACTGAAGTCATGTTTGTCCTCCACTCCTGGTCCAAATCCGAAAGCAATATGACGATATATATTTCTCTGAAGTCTTCTCTATTAGCATTTGTAATGAGCGAGCTCAGTGTATTGTAGAGATAAACAGTGTTCTGTGGTCGCTTTGCCGTCACCAGACCTATAGTCAAATATCCTACGAAAAAGATTAAATAGAAATCATACTTCTTCTATATTGTTTAGGCAACATGAAAACCATATCTATATTTCTATTTTTGAAATATCATCTCCCTTAGATACCATGAATGGGACAGGGAAGTAATTGACTGAATAGGTTTATTAATACTTATTATGTAGTCTTTTCGTCACCCATTAATCTTTTAAAAAAGTTAGAATACTAGTTATAAGACTCAAACAAAAGCATTGTCACTTGAAAAAAAACTTTGATTCACAAAAGAAATCCTGCTACATCCTATCTTTTAGTCTACTAAAATTTCGTGAAAGAAACCGGACGTTTAAAACTCATTCCACTAAATGCTAAATAGCAACATGTGTTGATAAACACAAAATATACACTTACGTCTATAAGTTTCTCCTGGTGATCCTATTAATGTAGCTGTGTCTGTCCAGTTCTGATAAACGTTATTCAAGTCAAATTGCGGGTATAAAATACGTTTTGGGGAACGTCCTATAACTCCCTATCAATTAAAAAACACAAAAAAATATGCAATAAAATAGCAATCAATTAGTATTACATTTACAATTAGTCATTACTTTTTAGGGGATAACAATCATCGCAATTATACATGTTATACCGTATATCGTTTTTGTCGTCTCGATTTATTTTTATTTTTCAATTTGATGACAAAATGGGAAAGTTAAATGTTTACTGTGTGGTACTTCTGGTTTGGAAAATATACGCGAGAAACTCACGTTAGTGTTTATGATGTAAACAACATAAACTTGATAGACTGAGTGAGAAAACTTCATTATCTAATTTAATTACTGTAAACCAACTTATTTTCGTGAGCGTTTTAATTTCGCGACTTTCGCGCGTTGATAAATCGTCTCGAATATGTAAAACTTGGAACTTTTCTTATTAAACTATATCAAGTAAATTAGAAAATCAAGAAAATTAAATAGCCGCAAAGTGGACTAGAAAGGATAAAACGCCAAATAAAGTATCCGCGAAAATAACTTGGTTTACAGTATTATAGAATAAGCAACATGAGATGCTAAAGCATTTTGTAGGTTTTAAACATGGTAAAAATTATTTTCATTAAATGCTTGACAAGACAAACAAAATCGATTTTACTTTCTTAAAAAATTTATGAAATGCAAGTATGTAGTACTGTAAATTCAGAAATTACTGCGTGCATTTATTATTGCGATTTTTAAAAAAATGGACAAAAATGCGACATTAATTATTGCCACTTCAGAAAAAGCTGCACACACATATATGAATCAGATATCAAAATGCGAGTTCTTATTATTGCGATACTCACCCAGTCACATTATTCGCATTAATAAAAACCTCGCAGTAATTTCTGAATTTACAGTACATGGTTTGGAACTTTTCCTTGCCACACAGATAGCGTTGACCTCTGCACTTTCCATTTGCTATTGCTTTTGATATGATACTGGTTTGGTCACCTTTTGCTGGAAGTACCTTGATTTTGTATCTTGTTAATCGATTTATGAGATTTGATCATCGGTAAAAGAAATAAACCTTAAAATGTCTGACTTTCTTTTTGTCTGTCTGTAAATCTTGTCAGCGCAATCTTAACAGCTAAATAAACTCATCATAGATACCAGGATTGAACGGACATGAATGAAATTTGAAACAGTTGAAGAGCAATACAGGATGTGCAGAAAGAAAAATAATCACGATTAAACATGTTAAAAAGATATGATCCCATTTACTTACTACTTCAATATGCCTATAATAAAACAGAGCGGACAGTATAATTTTGTGAGTTCAGTTACTGTTCTAGTTCATTTCAATGTGTTGAACAGTTTTTTTTAAATAAATTTACCTTTGTTGATGTAATAGGTCTGATAGATAATTCTTTGCTGTTATTATTCTGATAAAACTGTGCACTATCTGAGGCAAAATAAATAAAAAAAAGTCAACAAAATAACTTCAGTAGTTGACCAATCCGTTTATGAATATAGTAAGTTTCTATCCATCATCTTCCGTCGTGTTTTCGTATTAAGAAAGTAAAGGAATTGGTAGTTTTATTACAATTTAAAAAAAAAAAAGAGATGTGGTATGATTACCAATGAGACAACTATCCACCAAAGATCAAATGAAGTGGATGTAAGCAATTATAGACAACCATACAGCATTTAACAATGAGAAAAACCAAGACCTTATAGTTGGCTATAAAAGACCCCGACATGAAAAATATGAAACTAGAGGCTTCTGACTTGGGACAGGCACATAAAAAATGTGGCGGGGTTAAACATGTTTGTGAGCGCTCAACCCCAATGAAGGTATAATAACGAATTATTGTACTATAATTTTAACCAAATAGTTCCTCCCAAACATTAGAATGATTCGTACCGTCTCGAATAGTTTGAGTTCAGAATTGAGAAACTGAAGACCACATTTTATAATTATATGGTACGGATCATTGTAACTGATATATTGTTTAGAAATGAATGTTCTGTTTATTAGTTTCGCTTTATATAAGCCTCGTAAAAAATATCACTGATTTTCTTAATCCTGCAGGCCATATTTTCGCGATAGCATGCATGATATTATTTGATATTACTTCGTGTGTAATTTGCAATTGATAAAATGATATACAGGTGCTTTTTGTTTGGTTAATAATCGTACCTTAACTGCTGTTAGTGTCATATGTTGTGATATATTGAATTTTGTCCTTCAACGATCTCCGATGTTTGGCTTTGAGCATAACTCATGGCTAAATAATATACCCAAAACAAACTGCAGAAAATTATTTTGCATCGAGTTATTACAATTTTTACGATTGAAACAATACTTGTAGGTCATATTTTAAGTTTCACAACGATGCATTAAATTATCAATAAGCTTTTTAAAAAGAGAGGCGAAAGATACCAGAGGGACATTCAAACTCATAAGTCGAAAACAAACTGACAACGCCATGGCTAAAAAAGAAAAAAGACCGACAGACAAACAGTAGTACACACACACAACATAGAAAACTTAAGACTGAGCAATACGAACCCACCAAAAACTGGGGGTGATCTTAGGTGCTCCGGAAGGGTAAGCAGATCCTGCTCCACATGTGGCAGCCGTCGTGTTGCAAATGTTAGTATAAACCCGGTAATAAGTCAAATTCGAGAAACTAATACTTACGTTGAATTTGAATAAAAAACAAAATTGTTTGAAAAACAACCATCACAACCATAACTGTAACTAAGCTCAATATTGTTTGTAAAATATTCTTCCTAGTCTTCATTTTCTTTGATATTCTGAAATTTAATTAAAACAGCAACTGAGCAAATGATTTGTATATTTCGGTTTAATGCCTTCATCCGCAATTAATTTGTATTAATGATAATTGAAAAATGATACTGGTAAATCTTTGATAACATTAGTTTAAATCTTATTTACACCTAAAGATAATTAAGGTGACTCAAATTTTTAAGAACAGGTCCATGTAAGAATCAGGCAAACAGTGATAAGCCAATGTGGTTAATTGATCAAATATCATATTCTACATGGGTGCATACCTTATTGGAATTAGAAAATGAACTTCTTTTTTTTTTAATTTTTTTTTTTGTGTTATAAAAAAACAGATTTAAAAATTTCCCCTTGAAAGACCCTGAAAAATGAGCAAGAAAAACTACAAAAAGTCACGTTTATAAAGTAATTTATCTCACTTTAATATATATATATATATATTATTTTTTTTGCTAGTATATATTTTATATAGAGTTCATATTTATAGTGATATGAAAACAGATTAAAAATTGATTTTGGATATTTTCTTCCCTAGCAACCGTTTCCATGGAAATGTGATCAAAATGCATTTTAGAAAAATGCAAATTCTTCTATTTTCATTTCATTTTTTTTAAGAAACAGCAACAGTAAACAAACTTATATTATATATTTCCTTTTAGTAGAAGCCCTATAGAATATATCTAAACAAAAAAAGTTCGGAAACATTTAGCTGGTGTAGGTTTATGTTACTTCTGATTTTTACCCACCATGTTGGTCTAATTTAAGTGAAATATTCACTGATGTTATGCCAATTCCTATACATATGATATATCAGGGTTTAAAGGGTTAATTTTCTGTATTCTGAGTGGAACAATATATAGCGTGTTTATGTGTGATTTGGGGAGGAGGATCGTATGAATTATTTCCAAGGGTAAAAAATGTTATGAATAAATTCAACGTAAGTATTAGTTGCTCAGTCTTTAGTTTTCATTAGTAATGAGCCTAAGTCCGCAAGAAATTGTGTTGGTTGTAAGCTTCAATGGGGTCTGAATTGAAATAAATGAAGGATTTGTTTTCTTAGAACCAAATAATTTTCTCAATATATTGATCCACACCTCACTAGCCACTGAAGTGAAGAAATTTCAGCCGACGATTAATATGTTTTATGTCTCCCACACTGAACGTTTGTTTATTTATAGATGAGATAAATGTGAGAAGTACCATTCACAGAGTAACACCTGCAAAATGTTTGTTCAGTGGTACAAGCAGTTAAATGAAACAAGAATGTGTCCATGGCACAAAGATGCCCCCTTGTAAATATGCAAGAGTCAATGTTCTTGTATTCAGCAATTTTTCCATTTATAACAGGACATATCTAGTGAACTCATAAAGTGACGCCACCTTAATTTGAACTTGATCTGTGTTTGGTGGTAATAATGTTATTTAACTTATACATAATGCTTAAGGTGTCAGACCACCAATTAAATATCCCTATCTGTTCAACCAAATTTTGCAATTTTCACAGCTTTCTAAATATTTTACCTTAAGTTTAACTTCATAGAAACCAGGTATATCCTGAATTGTATATGTATAAGCTTTCTGCATGCCAATTTTCAACATACATATAAACCTTCTAAGAAAAAAACTGACCTTCAAAAAGAGGTACTCCAAAAATAACCCCTGGTTTTCTGGAAATCTTAAATTAGTATACTATGGAGCGCATAAATCCTCAATTTTTAATGCAAACTCATAGACAAGTAAATTTTGGCTCAAAATGGTCTATATATATTTCTCTTTCACCAAAAATTTCATTTCTGCAAATTTGTTGGTTAGTTTAAGTAAACAAGGACATCAAAAGCACTATTTTGTGTCAAAGTAGGGCTACTTTTACATACGTTCTAAATTAGAGGGAGTAATTGGTGGTCTGACACCTTAAGTCAGGCAAAATAAAGTGATAGAACGGAAACCAAATACAAATTAAAGTACAGACAAAGAAAATAAAAACAAGGAAAAATGGTCTTTTTCTAGGTGAGATCAACATCAAATATCGACATGGGTTTCTGGGAAATTACAAATTTTTTGTTTGTTTCATTTGCCTGGATTTGGTTTAATAAGATGTAATTTGTACTTAATGAGCAATATGGAGCAGGATCTACTTACATGTACCTTTCAAAACTAATCAAAAGAACCAGAGATCACCATTTCATATTTCCCAATACCAGTATAACAAAGATGATTATGTTAAAAACTGAGGTGTAAATGTGCATATTTCAGTTCTTGTAATTAAGGACAATCAATAAGTTACTTGCAATAAAAAAGTAAAAAAATTATGAAAAAATTATGCAAATAGTGCACTATTAAATTCTTGGTATATCGATAACATTGAACTTAAATTCCAGGTTTGCTACAGAGAAGAAAGACAATTGGTGATAATATGAAAGTAAAGAATAAAAAGAAAAATATATCAAGTTGTTCGAATGTTTAATTTTCCAAAAGCACAAGCAAAATCAGTTAAACATATTTTAATAATGCTTTGTTTTCATTGTTCAAATATGTATCACAAGCTTCTATCAAAAAGAGTGATTCGTTAGTATTTTAATAATTTGTGACGAATACTATTAGGTTCGTTAAATATACTGAACAAGAATGTGTCCATAGTACACGGATGCCCCACTCGCACTATAATTTTCTATGTTCAGTGGACCTTGAAATTGGGGTCAATACTCTAATTTGGCAAAATTAGAAAGATCATACTATAGTAAACATGTGTACTAAGTTTCAAGTTGATTTGATTTTAACTTTATCAAAAACTACCTTGACCAAAAACTTTAACCTGAAGCGGGCACTATCATGTTCTATGTTCAGTGGACCGTGAAATTGTTGCCAAAACTCTAATTTGGCATTAAAATTAGAAAGATCATACCATAGGGAAACTCTGTACTAAGTTTCAAGTTTTTTGGACTTCAACTTCATCAAAAACTACCTTGACCAAAAACTTTAACCTGAAGCAGGACAGACGGACGGACAAACGAACGTATGAACGAACTGACGCACAGACCAAAAAACATAATGCTCCTAAGTGGGGCATAAAAATTACAACTCATTAATGTTATGCAGCTGACCAAATATTACGGTAAATCTTTCAATTCTACAGGTTCAGAGAAAAATTTAACAAAAAATGTTTGTTTGAAAAACGGACATATTGAAGGACAATATGATTGTAATTTAGCCCAATCTTTGAATATGTTTTCAAGATTTTCAAGCCATTACAGGGAATAAATGTCATTAAGCTTCTCAACAATTTTTTACGATTCTGTACAGGTTTTAATAACACGAATAAGTTAGATTTGATTAACCAATACACAATATGATTTCTTATAAGACATGCACACACAAAAATCCAAAGTTTAAAAAATCTGGGAAAATAAGCTTAAGATGTTTTTATTAAAGTAAAATATCACTTTTAAGTAATAATTACGGTTAAAAGAAATTTTGCACCAAAAAAAAAAAAACAAAACAAAACAAAACTTCTAGTTCTTTGTCCAAATGGAGATGTTTATTCATTATGTATAAACTTTATGCCAAGTTGTATACTAGTTTGACCAAAAATTTAAATGTTACCCGGTATATAAAATTATATGACAGTGAATACGTAGTCAAACAACAATAACAGGTATAGATTAATAAATGAGTAAATATTATTGAATATTAGCGATAACAGTTTCCTCATCATGGCAATTAGAGCCGCAAGAAGATCTTCATCATCAAGTTCAGTCTTCACTAAAGGATTTGGGGTTCCTTTGCTACATAACTTTGAAAAGTGAGAGGTTAACGGACCTGCATTAAGCAAATGATTAATTGGAAACATTTTTCCCCATTTGAGTTTTTAATCTTTTTCATTTCTTCAGCAACAGCAGCTGGGTTACACTTTTGTCCTGTTCTATTTCCTTCTTCAAACTTGGCCATTAGAAAGTTTTTAACTGAATCAGGAAATCTTGAAATCTCCTGCCTTTCTTTATAGCCCATCCCATATTACTTGCAGAAAAATCGTTTTTAGTATTTGAAAAACAAACACAAAAACTTAACATTGACCAATGAACCCTGAAAATGAGGTCAAGGTTGGGGCTGATACCCATTGGACAGACATGTTTTCCTTACAGTCATTGCATACACCAAATATATTACTTTTGCTTTTAGTACTTGAAAAACAGAACAAAACACAAAAACTTAACATTGACCAATGAACCATGACAATGAGATCAAGGACAGATGAAACCTGCCAGTCTGATATGTACCCCTTACTATCATTCCATACACCACATACAATGTATAGTTGACCTACATGTACTGCTTATAAAATCTGAGAAAAGAACCTAATCATGTCAACTAGGGAGGTGTCTGAAATAGTTGTAGTGGACCCTTTTTATTTCTATATATTATGTAATTAACAGAAAATTTGTATTTTAGGAAACCTTGTAAAATACCTGATTTCTAAATTTTGTATAGACTTCTCCAAATTTTCATTTAAAGTATCTAGAAAATTAAAGATGGTGCAGTTTTTGTCATACAAATTTCAAAAAAAATCTGCATGTACAATGTAAATGTACATTATTGTACATCATTGAACATAACATTCATTGATATAATTTATATTCAATGCATTGCAATCTTTACTCTATAGTCAAAAAATCAATGGCCGCTCAAAACTATAGTATATGTACATGCTTTTACACAGTGCAGGTGTCCTTTTTTAAAACTTGAAATACATTCATTGAAAACACCTGAATATAATTTACCTTGTATAATCCAAGGAAGTACTATACACAAGGGGCCCTGTGTACAGGTGTCTTGATCAATATTATTTATTGTTGCTTCATTTAGTGATTATCATACATGTATTACATTTATGTATACCTTATAACTTTTATGTAGTTCATAATTGTACCAATAGTTTAGTTCTTTTTTCTCCTAGTATAAGTCCAAAAAAGGATTCAATACAGAAAATATCATTTATTTGTATGAAAGTCTT